AAGATGACTTATTCCTGGTCACCAGACTTTTACGCTGACCGATATTAGAGCACACAACCACGATTTGTTTGACACAACAAATCAATGTCATCATGTACAGATTCCAATACTCTCATTCACTGCTATGCGGACCTAGATTAGAACCCACAACCATCATTTGTTTGACATTACCAGGCACATGATGTCATTAAAGATTCCAAAGGTCTAACCAGCTGTGTTACAGCCCTTCCTAGATTATCCATACCCATTTACAGTTGGTTGAGAATCAAAACCAAATAATCAAAACATTTAAATAAATCGTCTTAAAATATATAATTCAAATCTTTAAACTTGAAGAGCCAGTTAAAATGCAAAATTACCAGTCTAAAAGTTAAATAAAGACATGGAGATTGAAACACTTGATTAAAAAAACCTCACAAAGACGGAAAAAATCAAATCATCTACGTACACTTAAAAAAGCTTTTAGTTAGTCGTTTAAAATCTTTTAATGTGTAAATTTAAAATAGGTTACTACTATGTATCACGAACTATGGTAAAGTTACGAGCGTTTGATTTGAGAGAGATGGAAGTATAAAAGGAAAGACTATATCTCGATTGGTTAAGTCCATTTAAACAATAAGTATTTTAAGGATATACTTCAAACTATTAAACTACCATTTTATACTTCATTTTCTCTCAATTTACTTCTTAATCTGGTTCTTCATATTAATAGCTTTAAATATGTGTTTCACTTTAATGAGAAGCTCATCCAATTTTGTTCAATATTACAAGATTTTTACTGTTATTTTTGGTTGCTAATGTCATATATAGAAATATAGAATTTAATTGTTCAAAATATAAGTATTACGCTGCTTTGTTGCTATGTTGCTATACTACGTTGGTATACTATGTTGGTATACTATGTTGGTATACTATGTTGGTATACTATGTTGCTATGTTGGTATACTATGTTGGTATACTATGTTGCTATGTTGCTATACTATGTTGCTATACTATGTTGCTATACTATGTTGGTATGCTATGTGAAAATGCTATGATAATAACAATTTGTATTGTATGATAATTTATCTATTGTGATGTCACTGTTGCTATAAGTTTCGATGTTGTGTTTAATATTTTAACGTGTTCTTACCTTGTGCTCAGTAACAGCGTACAGATTTTGTTTACTTTCATCCAGTCTTAAATCCTGATAAATAGCCTGACCTTCGTCCACAGTTATATCCTTATAAATAGACGCCATTTTCTCAACGACCACCTGAAAACAGACAAAACGAAAGTAGTGAATGAGGGAAATGACAAAATTACAAAGACCTGCAAGAAAACAAGGTTATGTAAATTTTAGCTTCTGAATCATGACCTTGAAATTCTTGGGTCAAGACCAATATCTATTATTGGAATTCAAACATGTAAATTTGTACACTTTATGATAAATATTTATAAGAAGCATGTGTTTCAGACGATTTATCATCAAGAGATCAACAACTTCTTAATTGACTTTTACCATGTCTTTGGCCAGGGGAAAGTAAAGGCACTCATTGCACCGGAGCATATATCAAAAACAACGCGATCCTGTATCAATAGATAACTTCAAAATAAAAATAAGTTTTCTAGTACTCTACCTTTTTAATATGGCCCGACTTGGTACCGACAAACGCCACAGTATAATTGTAGGTTGTCGCGGTAACCAGCGCCGTGACATAGGTATTCGTTATTTTCAATACTCCGTTAGCTTTTATATCTTTGGTGCCAGAAATTGGAAAGTTTAAATCGGCACCACAAAAATCATCTGTAATGGCCATATCCTGGAATAAAAATGACAAAATTCTCTAAAATTTAATTCCATTTCTTCAACTAAATTGATTCCAATTGCCTCTAATCATCCTGAAAGTACAGACCTGGAATCATAGAATTAAGAGATTCCACCTGACAACAACTAAATAACCTTTAACACCAAACACAACCCTAAAATTAAAAATCAGATTGAGCATGCCCTTCCATCTTTTACAACCCCCTTTCCCCCACCCCCCCTTCCCACTCTGTTTTTTTAAAAGAAGTCAAAACTAATTTCATACAGCAGTTTATCAGTAAAGATATAAATTTAACAGCAGGGTTAATATTAAAATTCCTTGTCTTTGTCCCTGCCTTGAATTCCCTACCCCCACCCTCCTCTCCCATTCTCTAACTCAAGTCAAAACTAATTTCATAGATCAATTTAGCCACAACATTCAATTTATCAGTAAAGTTATAAATATAACCAGGGGGTTAATATTAAAAATCAGATAACTAAAGAAAATCAATAGTGATATATATTTAGTCAAAACAACTAAGAAATGTTAACAAGGATTTTTAATGGTAACTCCAGTCGCGGAAATGATCGTATTCAGGAGACAATGGTGTTATTTGGTTTCAGGTAAACGAGAGGATATTGGATTTATGTGCCCTCTTATTCATACGCTGATCTTTTTACTGTCCATGTTTTATAGTTTACATTCCAAAGTATCGATTACTTCAGCTTAGCTTATATTACATTTAAATGAAACTGAGTTTTACATCCTACTGTTCTGTAGCTTACGAAAACCAAAATTTCTTCAACTGATAGGGCTATTGAAGAAAATGAAATGAATTGAGTTTTACCAGAGCAGGAGCATTAGCCTGTTCTTTTTCCATTTCTAACTGTCGAGGGATCTTTAACGTGCACAGCGTGTAACACACGAGACCTCCGTTTATGGAGTGATCTCTAGCTTTTTTGTTAAATGAAATGAACAGTATCTCCACTGTTTTTACCTTTGTGGGTGACTGAAGATGAACAATGCTTAGCAGTGTGCAATAAGGTAAGTTTTACCAAGACAAGAGATGCCAATTTTAGCACCCTTTTCAATTTTAGACTGTCATGGTGTCTCTGGAAAGAACCTTGACACCTTGGAGAATAGTTTAAATGAAAGTAAACCACATGCACACCTAGAATAAACAGCAGGATAGTGTAAAAAGAGAATCATACAACGAAAACCTGCAAATTCAGAGAGAAAATTCTCAAAAAGACAGCGGTTTGATGTCAAAATCCAAAAGAATGGAGGTATATTCATTAAATCTTCCCAAGCCTAAAGCTAAACTATGTTATACTAAATAACACCATGTTTTTTATCAGTAGACAATACTATAAGCTATAGATTACAGTCTGTCCGAGAGCCAGTTAACAATACGTCATATCAGTTGTTAAAGAGACTGTGACCAAGTTTTCTAAATTTTTATGTGTATCGGAGACACTGATAGCTTCAATTTGCACTATTATAATTTTCAATCAGATGTCTGTGGTTCCTGCAATTCCAAAAACTAAGTGTTTTATGAGGTCACTAATTGCAAAGGCTGTATGTAGTAAAGCATATTTTGCAATAAGTGACATCATCAAACATTTATTTTTTGTGGAATTGCAGGAACTACAGACGTCTGATTGAAAATTGAAATGGTGAAAATTGATACTATCAGTGTCCCTGCTAAACCTCTTAAAACTCCCTTTAAACTGATCATCCATGTTGATTATGTGGAGATATTTTAGGTTGATTGAACACTGACTTGGTCTGTCTGGTTTGTACAATGTTGTAGTATAAATAATAAATAATGGTATATAATAGATATACTTTTACTATTCAAATGAATCATATACTAAATTCCTACTAAAGCTATCAGCTACCTTAAACTCGTTCATAATGCACTGTCCGACAGCTATAAAACCACTATACAGATATATCAACATTATCAATCCTTGTTTATATGATAGTTTGCCTGAATTCAATACATTGAAACCCCAAATGCAAAGTGGCACAAGTGTTCTAGAAAAGGAATCAAACACTATTGGCCTGACTATACTATAGTGATATCTGCCAAGATGCAGAAAGGAATTAGGTGTTTAAGAAGAGTAATCAATCCCTATGCGTAGAACCCTAATGATGATGTTTCCCAAATTGAAAACCCAAGTTGCAGAGTAGCATATATATATTCCAATAACAATCCTTCAGTATGATACTGCTGAAAACAGGAGTTGAAAGCCCCAGTCACACAGTGCCAATAGGTGTTTCATAATAGTCAACGAACACCTGTGGTAGGACAGTTTGCAAAGTGGCATGAGATTTTCCACTGCAGTGAACAAACCCTTTTTGATGTCAGAATTTATAAACCTAATAGGACAAGTTGAAAACCCCAGTTGCAGAAATACATTAGGTGTTCTAGAAGAGTAAACAAAACTAATCATTAAATTTATAGCTTGAAAGTTGCACAAAATATCTGAACAACAGTCCTTCAGTATGATAACTACTGATAATTTGTTATGCTGAGTTGAAAACCCCAGTTGCAGAAAGGCACTAGGTGTTCTAGAAGAGTAAACAAACAAGGCTAATGATAATGTAATAACTATATATAAATATAATAATTGAATTTAGAAATCAGACGGAATAAAATCAGATTAATTCAATCTCCGTAGAACACAAATTAGATTGGATAACTTCCGTAAAAAGATTTCTATTTCCTAAGCCATTAGCCTACTTCAGTACAAAAAAACAGAAAACAAGACACAAGACATTTTTCTCATGAAATGTCAACGAAGAAGCTTTGGAATGTTCACTTGTCAGAGTGATGATAGAGGGTATGTCATCTGCTGAATTTAGGCGCAATTTATACTTAAGTCAGTGTCATTGGCCTAACTTAATTTGCTCAAAATGTCAAGGAATATAGTGTTAAAATGTTCGTTGCAGTTATCAGAATTGTCGTCTGCCAAACTAAGGCTCAATTTTTACTGAAGTCTAAAATATTCGTAATGTTTTCTTAGTTGTAAGAACGTTTGTCGTCTGCTTAAACCAATTTGCTCTTAAAATCAGCGAGAAACTTTCGAATTTTCAGTTGTAAAATAGAATTTGTCAGCTGCTTAACTTTGGCACAAATAGTTCAATATAAAAAATTCATGATGCCACCGCCAGTGCTTAAGGAAACTGACGCGTTTGGTCAATGTGTTATAAGACAGACAAGTCTGCACTTTCAAAACTTTCCAAAAAAAAAATCACAAAAAAATGGCTACTTACCACTTTAAGACACTTGGAACTTTGAATCATGTGATCTGGTCCAGTATTTCCAATTCCACTAAAACACTCCTGAATATTTTCCGTGAATTTTTTCCGTATATCCCGAAGACTATAAACACACATGGCTGACGTAGCAGACGGGTTCGCTGAGTTGGAATCCCCGATTGAAAAAACAGTATACAACACATCCTCTGTGGTGGGAATTCCAAGAGAGCGTGCTAATTTTGTGCCGCTTTTTCCAACATACGCAGCTTGTAGCAAATTAAATTCCGTATTTTGCATCGTACAACTAAGGCCGACTTCGGCATAAGAATAATAATCATCGTCGCTTTGGCAAATTCTGGAAATTTTAGTCACATATCTATCCGTCTGTACATTCGCTTTTTGAATTGAAAGAACGTAGCTGAAATTATCCGATCCAAATCCATAAATATAGCGGACTGGAAACGTATCTCTATGCTGAGATTCGATTTCGATCGAAGAACTTCCAAAAGCGTTCTTGAGTAAAAGATTAAAATCTTCCAAAGAGCGACTACAAAAGGCAGGCACTTGTTCTCGATAGGCTTTAAGTCCTGTTCGAGTATAAGAGGCAGCGACGTAGAGAACTTGGCGCTGGGGTTCATCCTTCACGACCGCAGGGCCAGGAGCAATGAACATTACTGTGGAAGCAGTGGCGTTATTGGCAACCATAGGCATGAAGGGAAACATTTGTTTATTGGTGATGTTGTCCAGGTCAAGTTTGTCACAATGACCGTGATACAAGGTGGAGCACGTGATCAATTTTTTATTCACATAATCGACAACTAAGGCCTTTGTGTAATATGGCCGCAATTTACACGCACAGCTCTTTAAATCAGGGTCACATGTTAGATTTGTCAAACTGGTACAGCTTGGGTCGTCGAGGTGCGGTCCTGTTACCACTTCCTGTATAACCTCCAAATTTGGTGATAATTTATACAAGTGATTGACAGCAGCGAGATACAATTCATTGGTTTCGCGATTCACTACTAACTTGTTAAAAATTCCCCGATCCTTTGCACCTTCAAACGTGGCTTTGATGTAATTTTCTCGCGCTGCCAGAATAAATCTTAAACACAACACACACACAAACAACACATATATTTTCCATGCCATTTTGGCTTCTTCAGTGTTAAGAAACCATGTTATTCAACCCTGAAAAGATAAGAAAGAAAAAATGAATTTATGCTTCGATAAAACATATTATTAATACGAGGGCCCACCCATTAAATCAACATCTTGACATTCCAGAGTTCTCATCAGACATGACTGGTAAATACAGACAAATCAATTATGACTGGTAAATTCAATTAAATTAACAATCTAAAGCTCAAACATGACTAGTAAATACAGTGTAATCAACAGTCTAGAACTTTAGTCAGACATGACTGGTAAATACAATCAAATCAACAGTTTATAGCTCTAGGCTGGTCCTCAAGTTGCCAGTCTAGAGCTCTAATCAGACATGACTGGTAAATACAGCCAAATCAACATCCCTGCAGTATTGATAAAACTTGCACCAACCACTTGATGTTAAACCAAGCCACAAGTTTTGATGAAACTGGTACTCAAGATAAAAGATATGAGGGAAGTAAAATAGACATGAAAGAGAGGGTTGTTTCTTAGTGAGCGAGGTATTTATCAGTGGAAGGGTGATGGATATGAAATTTGTTGAGTTTCAGCCAAGAACTGATCTATTTTAACTACCATGTGAGAAAGTTAACCCTTTAAACTCTAATAGTCGATATACAGTGCCAGAGAAATATGGTTTTATACATTTAAGCATAGAATACAAGTCTTTATTGCTTGCACGATCCCTCAACACAGTTTGAAATTGAAAAAGAGCAGGCAGATTTCCCTCATTGTACCCTGCATGGTGTTGCCTGTCTTCGTTAGCCCAGATGGTTCAGAAAAGTAGGACTCCATTCATTTCATTTTTTTAACATTGCAAAAGTATCCTTTTAAGGAGTAGTTAGTTAGTCATGTAAACAGCTTAATTTAAATGGTAGGTGGTGCTTGTTCTGCAATCTTCAACTTTATAACGGCCTACAGAAGAAGGGTCTATATTGGTATATTTCCATCTTGAGAGGGTTAATAAGTATATATATATATATATTATTCCACAGTGAAAGGGTTAAGACTATATATATATATATAACTATAGGTTTAACCACAGATTAGCTGTAGAGTTTATAAAGATAAATAACAAGATTTTCATCTCTTATATTTCATCCTTGTCAGCCTTATAGCTCATCTTTTATAATTCCTTAAACACAGAAACATCGGTAGAGGATTACAAATTTTCAGCAATATCAAGTTCAATTACATTTTGTTCAATAACATCAACTGGATCCACATACACACCGGTTGGGGATTAAAATGTCAAGTTGAACTCAAGTTGGTCCAATATCTTCTCATCTTCATCCACAGAAGCATTGATGAAGACTGATCAAATGAGCTCCAACTGGTCAACATGATTTATGTGAGATCTTGAATATGTCTGCCACTATCAGAGATCTAAAGCTTGACCCAAAATAAACACAACATTCCAAAGGATCTTGATAAAGCCTGGCAAAATCAAAACAAGTTTTCAACCAGGATCTTAATAAGATCTCAAGTAGAGGTGAAGAACCTGACCAGAAGTCCCAAAATAAACACAATATTCCAAACATTTCAACAGAAATCTGTAACAAGCTTGCCACAATCAAAACAACAACTTAACCAATATTTCAAGCGAGGATTCAAACCCATAGCACCTAATAGCCAGCAGACAATAGTCCAACTCACTACAGACTGAACTATTCTACTGCCACAAAAATAACAGTGTTCTACCTAACCTAGGGAATGTTTTAACCCTTACACAGTACAAATGTTGTTAACCCCTTCAAGGAAATATTCATACAGCCACCACAGGCCAGCTTGACCTAGATCTACAGGTTGTTTTCACAACAAAATTTAATCTTAAGATGTTTGGACATGAAAAGCTAAAGATATGCTAGTATCAGTTTACACTAACTCCTGATAGGATTAAACAACACATACTGAATGAGATATTTTCTTTACTTTATTTTCTTGGGTTTGAGTGTTTGCTCCACTTATTCAAATTACAGTTGTAGATATTTGGTTACAATTCCATTCTTTGGTTCACTCTAGAATTTTGGTTTAGTTTATTTTCTATGGGTAACTCCACTCATTCAAAGTACTGCTCTAGATATTTTGTTATGATTAGTTTTTATGGGTAAACTCTAGATATTTGGTTATAATTCCATTCTTTGGTTCACACTTCAATTTTGGTTTAATTTATTTTCTATGGGTAATTCACTCATTCAAAGCACTGCTCTAGATATTTTGTTATGATTATTTTCTATGGGTAAACTCTAGATATTTGGTTATAATTCCATTCTTTGGTTCCTTCAACTCTATATTTTTGGTTTAATTTATTTTCGAGGGGTAATTCACTCATTCAGAGTAACGCCCTAGATATTTGGTTTAGTTTATTTTCTATGGGTAAGTTACTCATTCATATTACAGATCTAGATATTTGGTTAGAATTCCATTCTATAGACTGTTCGCTCAAAATATAGTTTTTGATGTTTTGTTAAGTTTATTTTCTATGGGCAACACATGCATTCAAAACAAGCTACAGGTATTTAGTCATTTTCTTTAAGTTTCATAATGAAATAAGGCGAGGAATATTTTGCTTGGTTTATTTTCTATGGGAATGTTCACCTCATTCAAATTACAGAGAGATCCAATAATTTAGTTTCACTGCATTCTGTGGGTAATTCACTCATTCAAAACATAATTCTAGATATTTTGTGTGTATGATTGTGTTTGAGTGACTCATTACAAATGAAACTTTAATATAATAAATATTTATATCTTATCATACATTTGTATATTAAACTTATATCTTAATTAGATTGTCAGGCTCTAAAAACAGCTGTGAATTTCAGATTAGTTCAGACTGACCCTGGACTAGACCAGTGGGAGAGCCAGCCTGTTGAGACTGGGGGTAAAAATAGGGGGATAACTGTCAAGGCAGAATTCCAAAACTCTGTGGAGGTGTCATAGTCGCAAGCCTCTCATGGAATATCCGAGAGTTTTCTCCCAAAAATTTTTTTTCGATTAATTGAATGGATGTGGTGCATTCTGACAGATACTTTAGGGCAAAAACGTATTTTTTTATTTATTGGAAATAAAGTGGGGGTACAATTGTGGGTGCAAACCATATTTCTTAGAAAGCAAACACCCCCCTCCCCCCACCTGTACCTCCAATGACACCCACTGGCACCATCACTAAACAAGACTCAGCTCAGTGTTCTGGAGATTTGTTATCAATAAAAATTTCAAGGTTAACCTGGTACTAGAGTTATCAACATGACAGACTCTGTTAAAATACCAGCTTATCTTTATTAGTTAGAGTCAAGTATTTCAACTATTAACAAGTTTCTATCTCTTATTTTAAACTTGATCATATCATTTATCAACAAATCTCAACAGTTCAATATTTTGTAATGTAAAAACTAGTATTTGTAACATAATTTTATTTTGGCCATATCTTATATAGGCTAATACTTCAATTCCACACTTGTTTGGTCAAATCAGTACTTAGCAAGTTTGCCATTTAGTCATTTTCGCACTTGTTTGGTCATTTTGGCACCTGTTTGGTCAATTTGAGCACTTTTATGGGGCATCTCTGCCCTTGATTGGACCTTTAGGAAAAGCTCAGTCAGTTACAAGTTAGATTGTCAACTGCTAGGAGATTAGGTACTGTGATTTGAATCCACCGTCAAGTAAGAAAAATTCTGATACTATGGCCAGTGCTTTCGAGAGTCAACCCAGTTTTGGATTTCAACCTCTATCACACAAAAATTAATTGATGCCATTCTAGTAAATTAGCTCAAAGAAATAAGTATTATGTTGAAAATGACCTTCAAGTCAGTGAGGAGAGCAAGTTGTCTGCTATTGAAACTACCTGTTTGAACGGCTTTAACCTTTCACAAGTCATTCAACTGGTCTTTCAATCAATTTCAGGAATGGCTGGCGCCAATAATCTCTGAAATTCTCTATAACACTGGATTTTAAGTTATCATATTCCAATATTGTGCATCAATTGTGAATATTTTGCCTTAGGTAAAATTGGGTGTTATAGAAGAAACTATAAAGCACTGGCCAAGGTTATAAAATATGGTGATGAGAACTGAGTCTCATAAAAGCACTGGCCTAGGTCACAAAATAATGATTTATGATAAATCAAAATGACATTCCAGTACTAAGTGTTCTATATGCAATGACAAAACCAATAATTTGAAATGACCTAACCAAAGGTTGAAGAAAACTTGGAAAGCCTGAACCAATGTGCTTGATCGAACTGAAAACTTAAAACTGAAATCAACCATATTCTCTTGTGCCTTGTTTCAACAACAGAACCCCTAAGGCTGCAGCCACCTGACCAAACCAAAGGCTGAACAAAGCTGGGAGATCTCAGTCATTGCTTTTGTGTGTCATTTCAATGACAGCTGCAATCACCTCATTAATCAATTCCCTGAGCCTGTGCTTCTGTGACATTCTTGTACTAATTGTTCTATATTTCAACAACAAAATCCACTAAGCTGCAATGTTCTCATTTCAACTAAAGGCTAGAGAAAGCTTTGAAGAGCTCGCATGTGCTTTTATGCCTTATTTCAACAACAGAAGCTATGAAACTGCAATCATTTGACTCCAGAGCGAGAAAATAATACAGCGAATGCAGGCATATTAAAAATATTGACTGATGATAAAGTGCATCGCTATGAAAAGAGAAAAATGTCAAACACGTTACCTTTTAATAGCCATAGTCCTTTATATAATATCCTTAATTATTCTGAATTTTCACACTTGTCAAACACGCACCTATTTTACACGGAGCTCACCTTTTTCTAAAATAATCGCCACACAAACACTTAACTACACTGAACCTAGAATACCCTCGAGCCTTTTATTCATTCAATACATTAACCCTATTGTTATCGACTACAGCACTGTCCTGTTTCACAAAATCAAATCTCCATTGTTAACTTTTAATCCTTTCAAATATCCTGTAAGGTATAAAATTATCAGATAAGATGTCCACA